TTCCTCACAAGCTATTTGATGATTTTTCAGTATTTCCTAATCAGTTTGCCATACAGATTCCTCTACTTTTCTTTCTCTATTCAACAGAAACCATGTTATGCCTGTAAAACAGACACATCTTGTCTTATAGGTGAAAAAGACACTAAACATGAGTTGGATGTCATCCTCAGGACCATCTGTTTTGCAAATCATGCCAKTGTGCTAACCCTGTTAAGGCAATCTCAGGTTCTTTAGGACTTTTCCATATAGATAAACAAAAAAATATAGATACATATATGAATGGATACACACTTAAATGCAGGATATGTCAACCACTGATAGGCATTTGTATGATAAAAAAAAAGGAAGCTAAGCAGCACAGTTCTCTTGGGACCATAACAAGCCTGGCTAGCAGAGTCTCAATGCTTGACTGTGCAACTCTTACATAGATCTCATGGCCAACTAACATTACAAGTCAACACGTAAGTGTAATTTAAATTAAAATTGCAGTAACAGTGGATGTGTTCTTGGAGAGGGTGTGGAGCAACACTTTCATATCCTTGAAAATAACTGGCATTCTTCATTTGTAAGGAAGCTCATTATGKTTTTTTGTTCAGTCATGTAAGCGAACTGCTGGAGGATTGTAAATGTCTAAGGTAACAGTAGCCTTGAGGCATTCTTAACTAAAATTGTATTTTATCTTCCACCAGTCATGCATTTCTAGGAGTGGAAATGATCCTTAGGATAAGCTGACTGTAAGACTTGCTGCACTTACCTCTTAAACACAGTGTGCCGTATTTGTTAATAGCATTGTATTTTTCACATCTTCTTTCCGCAGTTGATTCACTCTCATGGATGTACGGACAGTTGCAGAGTTTGTAGAGTCTATTCCTACAAAATTATTTCCTATTAATTCCTAAATTACTTGTAAAATTTCTTTTTCCTTTTTTTCCTTTATAAAGCATTCATAAGAATTGCATTAAGCCTTAAGGTGACAAGTTTATGCCTTGTATTTTCCTTCTCCCAGGGAAAGTGTGACAGTAGCAGTTTTGTTCAAATTAGGCACTGATTATTTCAGATCTCTAAATCCAGTCTGTGATTTTTGGTGGCTAATGTGCTGTCATTCTCTGCTTCTCACCTGTTCTGTTCTCACAGCCGCGCTGTGCGATGTTGAATGGCTACCAATCTATAACCCAAATGTTGTTATATTAGAGTGGAGAGTTGTGCTGATCTCTGGACAGTATACAGACGATGTATCTTTTATGAGCTGCCAAGCAAGGTGCTGTATGACTACAAATTTCTGTGGGTTTTTCTCGGGCTGTACATACCTGCTAATTACCTAACCGATTTATATTTTTTATATTTATAAAATAAAATAAATATTTTATTTATCTTTCATTGTTCATTCTCCTTATTTCAAGTTTTAGAACTGAAGTAATTTTAGGAAGTAGTTATCTCAGAAAGCCTTGGAGGGGTGGAGATGGTCTGCTGGGCACTGTGCAGGTGCAGTATGTGCTAAGCTGGGGGAAAGGTTGGCTTTCCCCTTCTGTGCACAAAAATCTGGGTTCTGGTTACTGAGGTCAGGGAGAGGGATGCCTCTGGATCATGCTCGGAATAAAGACTCACTCATTAATGCCTTCATTCAGCATCATGGAAAACACTGGGAGGGAAAAKGATYTTTCTGAGCTTSCAGCCACRTGGAATGCCAGTCARGGGAAGCCTCRCTGCAGCCTTGCAGCAGACTGAGCMCCCTTTTCTTTCCTGCCTTTGTGGTTGAAGGAGAGAAATGGAGGRCTGGAGAGAGAGTAATCGGTAATAATCTCCTCAGCCAGCCAGCCATCTCCTCCTATTGACCTTGAAGTAATGAAAAAGGGACAGATTCTTCTGYGTTTTACCTGTGAGTGCCCAGATAATGAGARCAGAGAGTAATGATCATAAATCTRCATGGCTTTGCCTTTTTGGAAGTCTGGGTCATGGGAAAAATGACAGTACCTGTTTATTTTCAGTCTGCAGTTCACATAAGKATTTGTCCCAAAGTGTTTCTTCTGATGGTATTTTTGTGTTTTGCCTYGTACTTCATTTTATGCAGCAATGGTTTTAATTCAAATGATCCTATTCCCTTTTGTTGACTTCAGTTTTCAGTATGAGAATAGTTGTATTTCCCAAACCAGCAATAAACTGGTTTGATATTTGCAATTTTTTCATGTMATAGCTTACAGTGGAGTTATACTGGTGTAGAACTGTGCCTATGAAAGAAAAAATAAGTCCTACATATTAGGACTTTTATTCAATATTTCTCTTTAAAAAATAGGGGAAAACTCCCTAAAATGGCTACATTAAAAAAAAAAAAAAAAAAAAAAAAAACCAACTTGGAATTTGGGAGTTTACTTTCAGATGTTGAACTGCCATACACAGAGTAACCAGAAAGTTGTCTTTGGCAATTTTTTCATTCCCCTCCCAGTGATATGCAATTCATTAAGGCAGTTCCTTGTCAAACATTAACTCAGAAAATGGGAGGAATCTGAGACAGAAAATAATTAAGTAACCCWAATGATGCAGCAGTCCAACTACCGAGGCCAATGGATAAAGAATAGTAGCAAGGTGTTTTAGTASTTAGCTAAAATGCCAAGGCAATGTCAGCCAATAAATGATGTCATGCAGTCAGAGGCAGGGTTTGGTCAATGCAACCCAACAATTTTGTCTTTTAATCTTACTATGTACCATAACAAAACATCAGGAAGGACTATATTTAAAAACAGAGGAAATGTACTGAGCCACTAGAAGAGCTYGTTGCATTGTTTTTCCTCTGAGCTAGATCTCAAGTGAGATGATGGCTGCACGAGTACTGAGCTCCCCCAGGCTCCTTTCCCCCTTCTCCGTGTGGGATTAACCTCAGGAATGGCAGCAGGATTCTGGAGTAAAGGGGACTGTGGTGGGGAGGTTTTGCATTTTGTTTGTATTCCCATGATGGAGTCATTAGGGGAGTGTTTGGAGCAAAGCTGAAGGAAAAGGGAGATCCTGAACCCTTCACTGAATGTGCAGCAGATGAGGTTGAGAGAGTGAAACACAGTCTGATCCACAGCGAGGGAGCCCTGCAAGTCTGGCCCTCTGGAGCAGCTAGGGTGGTGGTCATGTGTTTTTCCTCTTTKGAGGCCAATTAGCCTGTTGGGGCTTGCCTTTGGCCAGCAAACACCGCAGCTGAGCTGTGCTGCTTGGGGAATCAGGGGGGATAGAGGGAGGAAGTTGCCTGGCTCGGAGTTCTCTGCTGGAAAGCTGGTGGTGACAGCAGCCACAGCGTACTCTGGCTGCTCCCCTGGTGCAGTCTGGGGCCTGCTGGTGATCTGGTCATGAGAAAGCAAATTTATTTCATCAGCCAGCCAACCTTGGCCCCAAAAACGCATATTGACATCAGTTTGGTGTGCTGGATAAGGCTGGCTGCAGTAAGATGAGTGCCAGAGCCAGCTCMAAGGGGGAATCATCCCAGGGGTTCCCAGGGTGAAACTGTCCCCTTTCAGCAAGATATTTCAGCTCACTCATGAAGACATACCCTAATCTGACCCTTTCTGCAGATTTTGAGCATTTCTGATACTCAGATTGGTGTAGGGTTTTTTTTCTACACAGCCATGTTTGAAGGTTGCCTCCTGTGATCTGGTTAACCACCACTTTTAAGGAACTCTTCTGACTTGCCCCAGCTAAAAGTTTGTTCCTCAAAATCTAGCAAATAAGTTTTGATGCTTAAAGACTGTCAGCCAACAAACAGTCAAGCTAAGTTGAATTCCAGATTTATTTCCAAAGATCGTAAGGTCTTTCATCAATTTAGGTATTAACATAGGGCCTATTACAGCAGGGCCATTCTCCACTTTTGAGGTAAAGATAYTGAAAGGGTTTAAGGAGTCATTAAGCCCAAATGCTATTTTTAAAGTTCCTTGAATTAGTGGAAATCCAGTGAGATATTCAGGGTGTGAATCCAAAGAGACCCAAGTTGATCTGAACTGGTCCTGTTTTAACACTGCCCCACAGCCACAGCCTTTACCCCATTCCAGTGCTGGCACTGGATTTGGAGAAGCCCCTCCTGGCTTGAGAAGCTGAAACAGGAGAAAATGAAACCCAACATTATTCTGCCAAATCTGCTCTCCAGACAACTCCTTTGCAAGGGAGAAGARAGGAGTCCTGAGGCAGGGAGTTGGGAAGCCGGGGAACCTCTGAATTAAAGGGGTTTAAACTGCTGTGGATCAGCACCTCAAGATTTCCATGTCAGTCATGTGCCTTTAATTGCTCCTAAAATGCCAGTTTCAAATAATAGTATAAGTAGCAGAGCTGTAGTTAACTATGTAATTTAATGCCATGAAACTATTTACATGTTTAAAAGTATGTAGATGATAGTGTCTTATGCTAGATCAGGATCTTAATTRTGCGTAGTTTGAGATAATTGGGTTGCTTTAGCTTCATATCTCAACCTGCTAATTCTAACTACTAAATTAGGATTCAGCTGTAATTCCTGTATGTTTAGTAGAACTATTTCAATTTGCTCCTGACATTAGGTAAATGTTGYGATTAATTCTGCTTCTATATTCCGGTTTTCTGTGGGAGAGGTCTGAGTTCAACACATTCATATCACCAGGTAATGCAGACAATTACATCCTTGCCCTTTGCTGTGTGATTTTTTTGTTCGGGAGATATAAATGGAAAAATGTTCTGGATAAATATTTTGAGGAAAAAGCAAGTCCCAAAGCGTGCTCATTTTGTTACAGAATTTATTCTTAGGTTGCTGTGCTAGCCTGTATTTTGTGGCTTTTGTTTTCTCTTTCCTGTCTTTTMGAAGCTCATACTTAAAAATTCATCCAAAAAGTACCAAGTTTGACATTTTTAACAGGAACAAAAAATGCGGTGAAGATCATATCTGTGGTCGAGCCTGTGTTGAACAARCCAGCCTTTCTGTTAATCTGAGGTTTACATGCAAGGGTAGACTGATTATCTGCTTACAGGTGCAGGAGTGTAACTGAATGCCATTGTTTCCACAGATGAGCACCATGCCAGGGCTGCCCACAAGGCCATGCTTCTATGACATTGACCTTGACCCCATCACAGAGCAAGTGAAAGGATTGTTTTGAGAGCGACGTCCAAATTCAGGTCGGTCAACAGCCTTTGTTTTCCTGTTCCAGCTTGGGGGAGGATGTTTGTGCSTGATGTGTGGGTAAGAAGGGTTGTCAGGAGTTTATCAGGGCTCTGGTTTCAGTAAGGATTTCACACACTTTGGGGGAATGTTTCATCATGTGCACCTTATTACGTGGGTTTCTCGTTGGCTGAATGGTGAGTGGCCTTTTGCTGGTGTCCACCAAAGATGCCTGTTGGATTTCCTGGCACTGCCAGTTTGGCATAGGAGGAACCAGCTCTGCAACTGTWCTGCCCTTGGCTATGGAAAAAGCCAGTCTGAAGAAACCATGTCATCTTACTCACCTCAAAAAAAATACTCTTTGATACTACACTCACGTGGCAGTGTGTGCCTGTCATTATCTGGTTATCAGGGAAGATGTTTCTCCGTTTGTTCATGAGCTTGGCTTTGTTTTTTCATGTTTTGTTTTTATAACTGGTGTCATCTCTCTCCAAGGGTAATAAGCATTTCAGGAACACAAAGCTGTCCCCTTAGCCTGTTTTTCATGCTGGGTTCTTTYCCTTTTCCTCGAAGGATGCAGTTCCCCCACCACCTCCTCCCTTTCTCTAAGCACTTAATCTTTTTGGTGTCCTGCTTTAATTTTGTGTAGCACATGTTCCTCACTTAAAAATACAAGATGTTATGAAAATATTTCATGCTACTCCATTTTAACCTTTTAACATAATAAGTGGAGTAAAAGAGAATGTAACCCTGACTGAAACAAACCATGTGTGCCTGTGATGGGATTCTCTCCTTTCATCACTTAGCTCTCTCCCCCAGTAGATTGGTCTGGAGAGCAAAAGGGTTTTTTCTTTTAAGACAGAACAATGATATTACTGCGAGCTAATAGCACTGTGATGGCACCCTGGACCAGCCAGAGCTTTCAGGATGTGCCCAGGTGCTTCAGCCCTGCTTTAGCAATCCTTGCCTGCTGTGGATTGAGAGAAAGGGCTTTCATTTACTGTTTTCTGTGTTTTGATGGATTGTTTGGAGGAGGGGAGAGCTCTGCACAACCCAGCCAGACCAAGTCAACTGCTCACTTGCCCACATTTGAATGCCACAATGTTCATCCAGCGAGAGCAGATTCTGCCAGTTTGTGTGTGCCAGATAAGACAGGTAAAAAGCACTTAGCTTGAAAGTTAACCTGCATGCTCAGGTAATTGCTACCCTGCATGCAAAMCACCCCTGACTATTGTGAGGCTGGRTAGTGTTACACATACCACCCCTTGGCACAYATCCCATTTTTATTACTGATATGCACAATACATCTGGCAGCTCYGTGCATACATATTGATTCATCATGTGTCAGCCATGTAATTGCTCCTGAATCATTTGAAATGACTGTAAAAACCTAATGTAAAATCTATATGCAGATTCACAGAGCCTGCTTAATTGGGTGTTTACTGCCTAGTCTTCCACAATTCCATCCAAACTTGGATTGATTGATGAGTTTTGAAGAACAACAGTAATTAAGCAGACAAAATACTCCATTCCAATTGTGAAGGCCTTTCACTGGAAGCTGTGCATTAAATGAAAATGTTAAATTCAGCTTTTAGTCAGTGATGGTGTTTTGTCAGATGTAAAAAGAAATGCTAACAAAGTCACAAAAGCATAATAGTCAGGTAGGAAATAGCATGCATATCCAACTGTTAATAAATTATTTTTATTTCAGTATTGTYGGCATTGACAGATGAATAATTCATTAAGTTTAAGCCTTTTAAAGAAAAAATAGCTTGATCATAAATATTTTTCATCAACATAGGCACATACTCACCTGTGTTTCTACTTTCAATTATCTAAATAAATGCCTGGAGAGCATAGTAATACCCAGTAAGCACCACACAAGTGTTGATTAGCTCTAAAATTCATCTGGYTCACGTGCTAGATTTGCTAATTTTGCAAGAAGGGAGAAATAATATTCCCATGTAGTCTTTACTCCCAACTTCCTGTAGAGAAGTTTAGTAGTATCCTTTGTTTTCACACATTCACTGAAGTGAACCCACACTGCAGGTGATACTGTGAGGTCTCTGTGGGCTTGTTTCTATGATGGCAGATCGAGGGATCCTCTTTTCACTTAATTTGAATTCTTCTGCATTTTAGTGTATGATATAATAGTACTAGTAATATGGTGTTGGGCAGCTCATTAGGACTGATTCAGAACTTTAAAAGTTGGAATTGTTTCCTCAGCAGCTGTCTGTAGAGAACACCAGTCAGAGTAAGACTTACATGGAGACAAGTCTGCCAAWGGGAAGAATTTTTWTTTTTTTTAAGTARTATTTGCACAGTGAGGGGAAGTCATGAACTTGACCTGCACAAGTAAAATCTGTTAAGGACCTTGTGAGCTCTAAGGAGCCCTCTAATTTAATCAGTGGCAGTAGGTGCCTGCTCTTACTGTGGCAATTTGGCTTTGAGTATCTGGGTTGATGGTAGTGGGGCGAAATCATTCTCCTCAGTTGGCTGTGACTCAGTAAGGCTGCCACTGTCACAGTGTTTGATGGATTCTCGCACTCTTCTGCTCTTAAAAACTGCCAAAGCTTTGGAATTACTTTAATACACAGTATGGATCCTTTGCCACCCTTGGAGATCTTCTCAATGTGAGAGGAATCACAAAGCTCTGCCCATGAGCATCTTCATGGCTGTAAAGAAGTGCATTAGGGCCGGACACCAAACTGATGTTCTAAAATTGCAAACTATTTGTTAGATGTTTTCATCTTAATTTGTTCAGATATTTAATTTCTATACGAATAGGAAGTGTTTTAAGACCTTTCCTTTACATCCACAAAACTGATCCTGTGAACAAAAAAATGCCTGATTTTAGTCTCATTCCACAGCATTGGCTTTCATTCAGCAATTATTACAGTAATATGCAGTCTGAAGTCTGGATCATCTGGAATATGAGCATTTTTGTTTCTCACCTAGTAGGGCTACACAGATAATATATAAGATGTGTATATAGCATAACTACATTTTTGTTTATTATGGTTAAGAAAAAAATATCCAATTTCACTGAAGTACTCATTTTAGGTTGTGACTTCTTTTTGTTTCTTTAAAGAAAGCAAAGATACCTTGTTTCAGTGTATAAATTTTTTATCTTTGTCATTTCAGAAGCCTGAAAATTAAGAACTGCAACTTTCCTGTTTCCTGCAAGTAGGAGACAAAAAATGAGTCTGAAGTATTCCTGTTATGTGTCTCTGGAGGAATGTCAAGATAGACCAAAGAGCAAAAGTTTACTCTTTCTTCAAACTAGTTTTTGTGAT